AAAGGGCACAATTTTTGAAAAACAAATGAATATGTATGAAAGACAAGAAAAGTAAATGGAAATGATGGAATTATGCGCGGATATTACACCATCAAAATGTGTTTTGAGAGTTTGAAATGAAAAAAAAAAAAAAAAAAAATGCATCATTCTTGTTGAGTGAAGATGTCAATATGACGTACGAATTAAAAAAACGAAAAAAGTAAAACAACACAAGATTTACGTGGTTCGGCAATGTGTCTACGTCCACAGCGGCTGAGAGATCTTTATTATTCTCAATAGTCTCAAATACATCAATACACCATGTATTTATACTATAACCCTACAAGATTTACGTGGTTCGGCAATGTGCCTACGTCCACTCCGCTCACTTCGCTCGGTCGCTCCGCTTCCCTCGCTACGTTCGCTCCGTTACGCTCGTAGGCATCAGTCTGTCTCTTTCCTTTGTCAATATATGAGCCATATCAACAATTCTTACATCGCAGGTTATATAAATAACAACCTCTATAAGCGAGAATTTTGCTCAACTGACCATAAATGACCTCTATTTTGATTGAACATGTTATATAAACGACAACCTCTATAAGCAAAAACATAGAGAATTTTGTTTAACTGACCATAAATGACCTACATTTTGATTGTGTTGTTTTATCTTGTTTACAACACAGGACCATGTGCAAATTATATAATATAAAAATATATTGCAACATTTATTACACAAATATGCAATTTGAAGAGTTCTATTCCAAATGGAAAGCTAACGTGAACCAAATTGTATGTTAATTCTAAGATCTATATAAAAATTAATCGATTTAAACAATATACACCATGAGTACATTAACTCTATGTGAGGAACCTCTTTCATTTGCAAAATAAGGATAAAAACCCTCAAACCACAATATGTGTGTGTGTGAGAGAGAGATAGAGAGAATGTGAGAGAGATGTGTTTTGTTGGGGGGAGGGGGTGTGAAAAATTACCACAATGTCCTTCCCGCAGGTATAATTTTGTCTTTTGATCGTCCGATCTAATAACTATGATGTATTTTTATTCCTTTCATTGAACATCATTCTCACCGGAGCGAACCTTTATACATATATTGATTATATGTTTACCAATAATTTTTTTTAAAAGATAATGAGAAATCATATTTTGAGCAGTATATAATAAAAAGTTTCTCCAATTAAAATAATTCTTTATAGGTTAAATAAGAACCAAAGACTAAGAAAATAAATAGGTAGACATATCAATTCTTTTTATTTATTGGTATAATCCAGAATTAAAAAATTAAGGCTAGGGAATTTATTCTTATAGTAACAAAGTTTTTCTACGGAAACTTCACATACTATTTTTATTAAATGCAATATTGAATCTTTTGATATTTACAAATTTGAATATTTGATGTTATAATAATAGTACAATTGAAATACTTTTTTTTTTTTATTATATAAAAAGTCCCATGAATAAATGACACAATTGTGTTTCCAATAAATTGCTATTGGACAGGCATAGTATTAGGCAATTATATTTTATTTTACACATACACACACACACAAATTGAAATGTCACATACTAATAATAAATAATATAAATAAAATCATGACATTTCATTCAAATAAATATGCATTTTTGTCTTACTTTTAATTTTTCTGGATGATGATAAAGATGCTCCGGCCTCACACGAACAACAAACAACAACAACATATCCAGTATATTCTGAACTGGTTAGAGTCTTGGGGGTCAATTGTACTCTGACCTTGCTCTTGTAATTATACAATGAGACTGTTTCCGTAGCGACTCAAGGTGCATTGCGTCGTTTGATATATATTTTTTTAAAAAAACTTTACTAATAGAAGAAACGCTAGAATTTAATTGAGTCATTTTGATTTAGTCCATTATTAACACTATGCAGGAAAATTGTCAACAATGACTCTTCCAACTCGGCCTCACACGCTTTCTACAAAATGTGTAAAACGTTGAACAAAGTGCTACTCTATACAGCTAAAGCGCGGCACACATTCCTCGCACGCCTCTCAACACCACTACTAAAAGGCAAGAAAATCATTTGCCGGCTCACAAATTTTTGTTCCACACCAAACCCCTCTCCTATTCTCCGCCCAACCCATTTCTTGAATTCACTCTTGAAATCGAATGGATTAGCTGCAGATGAATTTTGGTTCCATTTTTGCCTAGCCCTTTATGATTTTACCTGAAAAAAAAGCTGAAATCTTGATACTATTTTGGCTATGGAATCTGTAGTGGAGGCAACATCCGGTGCGGTGGGTGCACTGGTCAGCACCACCATTTTGTACCCGCTTGACACTTGCAAGACCAAGTATCAAGCTGAAAATCGAGCCCACCATCATCAGAAATACAGGTTCATCCATTGTTTTTGTTTTGGCCCCAATCTGTTGTTTTCATATTATCCTGTTTTTTTGTTGAAAATTTCAGCAATTTTTTGATGTTGAAGCTCACATATCTTTGTTATTTGTTCTTTGTTAGTTATCTCATCAATGTTATGTTGTTGGGCTCACTATAGTGATGCTTTGTAGCTGTCTTTATCATGAATTATATGTGGTTGGTTGGTAATTAGGTGAATCTTTGGGGTTGTGTACTGTGTGAGAGCTGGAAAAATGGTGAAACATAAAGGAAATTTGAAATGGGTAACCTCTAATTGGATCGTTGTTACATATAATCGATAGACCGATTATGTACTAGCTGGATAGACGAAATTTCCAGACTGTTTGAGCAATGTAACCATATGGATCGAAGAGAAAGGCATCCGAATTGATTGCTTTTACTACAGAAACATATCTGTTAGAGTCTTATAATGAGATAAGTAATATGGATTTAGAGTAAGCCATCTGAACTGATTGTTTTTATTGTAGGAATATATCTGATGTCCTCTGGGAGGCAATATCCACCCGTCAAGTACTCTCGTTGTACCAGGGCTTGGGAACAAAGAACTTCCAGTCTTTCATTTCGCAGTTTATCTATTTCTACGGGTACAGCTTTCTGAAGAGACTTTACTTAAGAAAAAGTGAGTCCAAATCTATCGGGACCCGAGCCAACTTGATCATAGCGGCTGCTGCTGGTGCTTGCACGGTGGTAGTCACACAGGCAAGTCACAATTTCGACTGATATACTCTAATTTCAATTTCAAAGCATTGCATTAGCAGTTACATTATTATTTACCTCAAGAGCTTTCTTCCTTTTTTTTTTTTTTTTTTTTTTTTTTTTTTTCCGTACAGTTGCCTGAAGATTGATTAATCGTTTCGATCAAATAATTGGATAACTAAAAGTAAAACACTTCCCTCAGGATTGATTTAGTTACATTTTGGATTCATCTGAATTATTTAAATTTTATCACAATTCATAGCCACATTTTATATTTTGTTATTTGTTATCTTCAGCCGCTGGATACAGCATCCTCAAAGATGCAGACGAGTGAATTTGGGAAATCCAAAGGGCTTTGGGAATCTCTAAGCGAGAGCACTTGGGCGGAGTTGTTTGATGGGTTGGGCATCTCTCTCCTTCTCACGGCAAATCCTTCCATTCAGGTTGATCATGCTTATTTTACGTTTTTTTGTATTATTTTTTTCTTACATCAGTAAATCACCCCTACGTTATGATGAATATGAAAAATATCTGATTTGTCATTCCAATTTTGTGCAGTACACCGCGTTTGATCAGTTAAAGCAGAGACTGCTAACGGCGAAGCTGAGAAAAGGGGAAAATGATGTGATGGCAACATCTCCCGAAGCTCTTTCTGCATTTTCTGCTTTTGTGTTGGGTGCTGTCTCGAAATGCATTGCTACCTGTTTAACGTACCCAGCTATAAGGTAAAAAATGCGTTGCATTTCAGTTCAGATTGTTTTGATAAGAATGATAAGCACATGTTTGGTTGCTTTATATTTCTTCATTACTTTAATCAGGGCCACTCAAATACTTTGTTTTCAAGGCCCATTCAATCAGTGCCTTCCAAAAACAAATAAATTTCATGATCACTCCCTAAAACCAGTTGATTCAAGAATCAGAAGTTGGCGATGTTCTAGAAAAAAAGGCGTTGGTAGTGAATAAATCAAAAGAGAAATCGATGAACAAAGCTATAAAATGCTTATTTCATTTGTTTTTGAAAAGTTGAAATAAATCAGAATCAGAAATATGAAACAAACTGCATCTTGCTTTTAGATTTCTTTGATTCAATCAGAAGAACATAATGAGAAAACAAAAAAGTACTTTCGTTCTTTTCATTCTAGCCCAAAAAGCTGAGAATGACTATTCTAAATGTGGGATTTCTGTTAATATCATTACAAGCTCTCGGTTTTGAATAGATGTAAAGTGATGATCCAGTCAGCTGAGTCGGACGAGGGTAAAGATGAACATGCTCGTAAGACCGTGTTTGGTGCACTCCATGCAATTTGGGAAAAAGAAGGTCTACTGGGTTTTTTTAAAGGTTTGCAGGCCCAAATCCTGAAGACCGTCTTAAGTTCTGCACTTCTTTTAATGATAAAGGAGAAAATCACAAAGTCGACATGGGTCACAATGCTTGCCCTACGAAGGTTCATATTTCTTACCAGAACACAGTTAAAGAACTCATAAAAAAGCCTGCTGTCAATAAATTGCCTTTGAATATTATTTAAATCTTTTTTTCGTAGTTCAACACCAGAAAGGCTTCGTGATATTATTTGTTTGTGTGTTGAGAGAGAGAGAGAGAGAGGGTTAAGCTTCACATATATCCAATACCAGAGGATTAAGTTGAACTTTTCAAGTTGAAAAAAATGTGTAATATTGGACTCAAAAAACTATTTGATTGTTGGTATTTTTCATCTTTTTTTTTTTTTTTTTGTGAACAAGGTTGAGTTGCACGCACTGCTACCTTTTTATTTATTTTATTTTAGGACTAAAAATGAAGGAAATTATGTAAGAGAGAGTGATGATTAAAGTTGATTCAATGTAGAATTTGTTTGAAAATGATCCAATGTGTGTTGTGTAGAACTATTTGATTGGAGATTGCATTTAGGGCACTAAACATAGAAGATTAAATGGCAATAATGTATTCTTCCCCTTCAAATATTTGTTTTTATATATACATTCCCAACCTAAATAGTTTGCCTTGCTTTTCTTGTTATATATTGGATGAAATCAAATTCCTTGGCAATATGCTTTATGAGAAAATAACTCAAATGAAAATTGAATTGTTAATTTCATGAAATGGTTTGAACTTTGAATACAAAACTACAACCATGTGAGTTGGATCCTATTTGTGTGGATTGTTATCAACCTTGGATTACATACATTCACACATATACATGTGGGTAGGGTTTAGAAACATCTTTCTAGATTTTAGAAAAAAAAATGAACATCTTCCTAGATTTTAGAAACTCAAACTTTCATTCTCAAAGATACAAGTACAACAAGAAAGACAATATTTTTCTCCTCTACTACATTTTTTTTCAGTTTGCCCCACCTACAACAACAGGATAACAGACAACACTTGCAACAGCTTCCCAAGAAAAACACATCAAAAAAAAAAAAAAAAAAAAAAAAAAAAAAAAAAAAAAAAAAAGTTTGAAGAAAAGTCTTGCCAGACATCTATATGCTCATCACCCAAAATTTATAACAACATGAAAAGCCCAACAACCAAAGCTACCAAACAACCACCAAGCCCACTAATCCCGGGCACCCCATTATCCACATTAGTCCCGAGCCCGTAATCTCCCTGACTTGTGTTTGCCGTCAGGATAACAACAATCCAGTCATCTTCCGACCCAACCCCAATCCCGCTGAACTGAGTCCCGTTCAGATAGCCCGAGTACTGAGACATGGTGAAATTCGAAAGCACGAGTGATGGGTCGAGGTGTGGCACGCATGCTTGCATTATCTGCCCGTCTCTTGTGGTGGTGACGTTGAGGTGGCATTTGGTCAGAAGGTTCTGGAAGTTGGGAAATTGGGGCTCGGTGCCTGGAATGGTGTTTGAGCCAGTGGAGTTTGTGCAAGGTTGGCCTTTGAACTGGTCAGCGAGTTCACTCGCGAGGCATTCGGCTCGTTCGTTGTGGCTTAAGGCCGTGAGGTTTAAGGATGTGCGGTACTGATTGATTCCTTGGACGAGCCTGTCTTCCTCGTCTGTGGATGTGTGATTGGATGAGTTCTTTTTGTTAGTGAGTTGAGTGAAAATCAGTAAGTTGAATGAAGAATTCATATTGTGGAAATGAGTAAAACTTTAGTAAATATTACATCTTTAGGGACTCATTTGTTGATATTACTAACCTTGAATTCTAGCCTAATCACAAAACATTACAAATTGTTCAATAAAAAACCAAATAAAATTAAGTTTGCATTCAAAGCTTGAAGAACCCGGTAGCAACTAGCAAGTGTTTCGATTTTAACGAACTTCAAAACACCAAAATGGAAAAGAGCTTAACTATCAAATGTTAGTAATCATCAAAACACTAAAACAACAGCACTAAAATTTAAAACTTTCCATCTGTATTTGGCATAACTTGAACAAAATCTAGTCTATAGTTTGGAAGTAAAATACAGAAAAGACAATAAACTCACTTTGTTTTGGCCAAATTACCAAAATCAGTAACAAATAAATTTCGATAAATACTAGGAAAACTGCCTAGGCAACTCAAGTTATCATTCAAGATCACTGCATATGCAACTCATGTTAGTATTCAAGATTCTCCATGCAGCATTAAACCAAGAACCAGACTGATCTAACAATCAAAACAGAGATCACACACAATTTCAATGACGAAAACATTCTAAACCAAGCGAATCAGAAAGAACAAAAAATAGATCAGAAGTTCGAAAAAAAAAAGGCGATGCCTTTCTTGTGGTTATACCAAACTTCAAACAGAAGCACAGAGACTACCTAATATTTCAAACTTAATTTATGCTGAAACATTACATCAAACTAGTTTCAGATCTCAAATTAAACCACAAGAAAATCTCATATTACCATTTATTTTGAAATTTACTTCTTATCCCAACTTGAACACACACAGAAGTACAAATCTTGCCTAAAGCAAAACCAAGAATCCCACATTGCAAATCCAAGAATCCCACTAAGTAATCAAACCTAAATTTCCATGCATTTGAAATATAGCAAGAAACTGAATCCAGATCTTCAATTTCAAAGACAATAACTCCAAATTCACACAACTGCTTCAAACAAAAAAGGTACCAATCAGCGGTAAATGCAAAACCCAGAAAGCAAATCTAACGAAAATCAAGAAAAAAATTAGGAAACTGGCAGCTCACCATCGTCGCATTTGGTGAGGAAAATGGCATGACACAGTAGAGAGAGAAGGATGAGCTTCGAGATTGAAGACATTGTCGATGTGGGATTCCAATAATTGAACTGAAAACTTAGCAAAAAAAACAAAGGAAAACAGATAACAAAGGAAGAAATTGCGGATATGGGGTTTGTCTGCAGATGAATTTGTGAGCTCTAGAGTTTGTGCAGATGCGTAAAAATGGAGTCTTGGTGAGGTAGTTGTGTAAAGATGCTACTTGGGCTGGCGTATTGTTAACATTTCATTTTCATGAGTTAATATTTCTGGTTGAAACTTCTGATTAAAGTCTCTTGTTGCCAAATTTTCACAGCGAGGAAGGAAAAAATCAATAAATGAACACTTAAATGAATGAAGTACCATTCGTCCTACAAGAAAGGTACAAAGATTATGCATGTTACTAGTAATACTAATCTCTATAACCGTTCAATTATATGTTTTTTGAATATAAAAAAATATATTTATATTATGAAATATCATATTTTTATTTATTTTTATTTATATATATATTTAAAAATATAACATTTGATATTTGAATATAAAAGCATATATGTATACCTTAAAAGATCATAACTATCCAAGAAAATAGAATTATCAAATAAATTACAATTTCTTTGAGCAATGACTTCGAGTCTTCCAACTATTTAATCAAGTTCGAATAAGTAAATTATCTTTGAGAATAAATGACAACATATTGAAAAAGTATGTTTGAATGAAAAACACAAAAAAAGTTTTACTAACTAGACATTTCGAATTTAACTATTAAGATTGATATCCTTAAAATGATATTAACTTATATTCACCAACATCGAGAATAACGCACGACACGTTAAATTAAACAAGTTGTGCAAATGGACCACATAAGTGTCGCATATCCATAAATAACTGTTACATGTTCAGCACACACTGATTTCGCACTTTAATTTTTTCACCTCGAGCTAATGCAAATGATTATGCATATGGATCGCATAACTGTCTTATATCCATCTCATCATTGTCGCATATTCACCACACAATGCATTTGCACTTTATGGGGTGAAAAAGTTAAGTTATCAGCGAGCTGTGTGAAAAAAAATAATACATCTTTATAGTGACGTGAAAAAGATGCACACCCCTTTCCAGATTTATGGTCGGTGTATCCATTTGTAGACTAGTGATCAGTGAATTTCCATTTACAGAATAACGAATAGAAAATTGGGCTGGAACATTAGGACTACAATAAGTATTAATACAATTGATAGACATTCTAAATAATATTTGTTGATATGGTATATCATAGGTATATCACAACATCCACCAAGAGCTCGTTCGATGCATGTACTCACTTGGTTCAATGGTGGTTCGCTCATGCTAGATTATAGCTCGATTACACCAAGGGTGGTTTGGATGAAACTAGCTCAGGTTGTTGGAGCAGAGATCACGTCGAAAGAGGGGCACTCGAGCTAAAGGAGGTCAAAACCAGGTCAAGCTATAACTCTAGATTAGTATGTTGGACACTTGGCCTGAGCCTAAGGTTGCTAGTAGCGACACTCAAGAGCACTAGTCCAACGTACTATTCAAGTATATATGGAAAGTCGAAACGTGTGAGGAAATGACTCACGACTCTTCGAAGATCTTAACTATTATTCAAGTATGGATAGCTGAAACGTGTGAGGAAAGGATTCTTATGAATTTTGGACATTAGGTTAACAAGGTAACGTCTATATAGCTGAAGAACGTGTACTACACACTAAGACCTAATATATCATCACATCACATCATACATTAGATTTATGAGAGAACAATTCTAACTTAAGGGTCGAAGACTAAAATAAATTGAAGTTTCATACCACATACTCAATAAAATATCAGTCCTCATTCACAGTAAAATATCCGTCCTCATTTTCTTTAACTCTTGCTTTTCATTTATTTCTTTTTGTTCTGTCTGTCGCGCTCGAGTATCCGAGCTTGAGTTTTCATCGAGCCGAAATGTCAACTAAACGACCCAAAAACCCAAACTCGAGCCGAGTTACATAAAATTACGTAAAAATCCATTTAACGAACCTAAACGAGTTCTAGCTCTCCTCGTTCGGTCAATCTCTAGCCTTAACAAGCAGAGTCAAGTTAAATTGAGCTAACGAACAACTCGTTTCGTTTAACATATCGACCTTGTAGAACAATTCCTGGATATCTGGTTGGGGAATGAGAGCACCAAGTTCCACACATGGATACATAGTAATGTTCACACAATCAGAAAACCAACATATTATTAATTCACGCTAGAAGTCGTTAATCCAAAGTAATGATTCGAATTCAACTGATGCATGTCAAAATATAGCATAAAACTGAAGCTATGTAATCTATCACCAAGGTGGTTTTCTCTTACTCACAAAAACCAGCACTTTTATCTTTGTTCAAACGACAAGGTTCAACCGGATAGTTGCATAATGTCATAACCTTATTGCAATCAAAGGACACCAAAAAAGGGGGAATGATTCAAATCTGTCCTAAAATAACGTCTCCTCCAGAAACCTTGAATTCAGACGGTGCTTCCTCAACATTGAGAACTTTGATCTTGCCGTCGACCACATAAGCCGACCACCTATCACAGAAATAACACCACAAAAAGTATCAGATTCACAAGAACCGTAAAAGGCATACCCACAAAAAGTAAAAATAAAAATAAAAATAAAAGCCACCTATGAGAACGAGGTCCAAGCAATGCAGCACTTAAATCAATGGACAAGTCCAGCTTTTTATGGAAGCTCCCGTCAAAATCTCCGTAGAATTCAATCTGCAGAATCAAAAGGTCGAGTCAGATTCCTTTTATGGTAACTCTCCCAGGCAATCAAAAGTTTTATTAAGATGAGAACACAAACATAAGAATGGATGAAAAAGATTTGACATAATCAAATAAGGAGCGGCTTAAATAGCGTACAATGAAGGTTTACACGGAGGTGACAGAATGTAATATTGGGTTTGTGGGTAGGCCCAGTTCCGACCTTGTTTTACAGACCCGAAAACACGTACTTGTATTTACAGTCTAAGGTTGTGTTTGGTAGTCAAATAAGCTAGCTTATAGCTTATTTGATTAGCTTATAAGCTTCATTTATTTGAATAAGTCTCGTTTGGTAGGAGGAGCTTTTTTAAAAAGCTCGAGCTTATCTTATAAGCTTGTTTAGGTAGCTTTTCAAATAAGCTAGTTGAAATTTTTATTTCAGCTAGCTTATCAGCTAATTTACCAAACACTTATCATATAAACTAGTTTTTCATCTATAAGTTATAAGCTATAAGCTCGAAAATTACATATAAGCTATAAGCTAGCCTATCAGCTAGTTTTACCAAACATAGCCTAAGTGACACTCAAATAATATTTCCATTTTCCATACTAATTTCCATGTAACTAACGATCTCCTTGCCTTATAAAATGATCAACCACTACTTTCAGTCTTTCAACCAACATTTGAAAACTCAGTAAACTTAAATTCTTAAATAAAAAAAAAAAAAAAAAAAATCACAAAGAAGTAATAATTAATTCACTTTTGGAGACAAAGAATCAATGATTTTCACACTGTTAGGAAAATGCTTTGTTTTGTAATGAGAAAGGGAGAGAGGAAATGAGTGAATTACAGCATCCTTAGCCTGAAGCTTTTCTGCCCAGCCATTCATTACATAGGGATCATTAACAGCCACACATATCACTGAATCAACTCCCTTTGCCTTGAATTTATCGATATTGTTTTTGTAACTGGGAACGTGCTGTGCCGAACATACACCAGTGTAGGCTCCCTGTGGCATGAAAAACCAAGTCAAAACAAAGTTAGCCGGGAAAGATACTCAAAAGCTACCTCTTGAAAGGAAAAGCAAAAAGAAATAAAGATAAATTTACACGTTCAATTGAAACGATAAACAAAAAAAATGAAATCAATATTATATCATTCCAACATCATTTATTTCTATTTTCTTCCAAAGAGTATGAATCTTTTGCCTCATCTTAAAGACAATACACGATGAGTCGTACAGTCAATTGAAAAGCAAAAGAATTTGCAGCACCAGAGCAAACTGTGGTCATTGGAACGTTTTTACCACAACTTTAACATTGAGGCTCAGGTCGAAAGGGGTACGCATAATTTCTCCATACTCTTAAAAACAACATATGCGAAAGTACGACATTTCGCAGCAAAAGTATGCATTTTTGTTAAAAAGATACGACACGCCAACTCGCCTAACACTTAGGCCGCTTCACGTAAGAATTTGCACGATAACGAAGAACTCTGAAAGAACAGAAAACCTCAATGTCCTCATAGTAAGCTCAACAACAAACGGATTCGTTCAAACACAAGAAAAGTCCGTAGTAAAAATCAACATTAAAAAACATCACCAACTCTTTCTATAGAGAAACTGGATAAGAAAAAAAATAAAATCAAAATCAATATCAATATCCAAAGAATTCAACTGACTTACAGGGAGGCCAAAGATGACAACTTTCTTATCCTGAAGAAACACAAAAAAAGAAACAACACAGAATAAGCACAGCCCACAAAACAAAGAACAAAAATGTGAAGTAGCCCGAGAATTTCAATCCGATAATACCAAATAATAATATACTAATTAAAAGAAAAAATCGCGGAGACCTTGAAAATGTCCTTCAAAGCAGTGGTCGAGAACTTGGACTGAACCCCCTCGTCCCAAGAGCGAGCTTTCTGGAGGGAAACGTCCGGCGCGGCCGATATCAAGTCGGAGCCCACCGCGACGGATGCGTAAGACCTCGATCCTCCGAAGCCATTGACGAGCGATCTCATCAGCGCCGTTCGCTTCAGCATAGCCATGGTTGTGTGCTTTTCTGCTCGTGATGAATAAATTGTTGGGGGAAAATGGAAAAAACCACCACACACAACTTTTTGCAAGCCAGAATGCCCCCCACCTTTTTTATTCTTTTTTTTTTGGGATTTTTTTTTTAACCTATGCCCTTTTTTAGAATTTGACATATATTTTTTTCTACAATTTGTCTCCCAATGAAATCGAGATTCGAAACTGACAATTTACCTTATCGATTAAAAATCCTAATATTGCAACAAGAGTTTTTAACTCAATTAATGATAAATTCTAAATTTTATTTATTAAATTGATTTAAGGCTTTTAAAGTCTATGGCGAGACGACAAAATGATGTATGGTTTGTCGAATTCTAAACATTGATACCTCGATAATCGATCCACAAAGAGAGTAGGAACACGTGTGTATAAAAAAAATTTCAATTCAAGTTTTTTGATAATCAAGATATCTAATTTTTTATTATGAGGTGTCATTTGAAAGCTTGTAGGACCAATATTATAACGCATAAATCTTATGAAAATTTAACGGTCAAATATTGATCAATATTTAGAAAACTACTGGTCAATAATTAGCCTTTTTTTTAGGATACCAAAATCCGACCGTTTGATTTCCATAAGATTTACTTCGATAGAAAACTCATCCTCTAAAATTTCAAATGACACCTCCAAGCTTTCAACTTCTTTCTCATTTTTTATGAAAACGTCACAATTATACACTCAAGGTGATATCGACTACCACTAATCAATCTCATGGCATGGTATCGAGTTAGCGACGACGAACAAAAGAATCTAATTACAATTTTATTCCAAAGAACTCAGTAACAAATACAATGCAACAAAAAAAACAAGTTGATACAAGAAGAAAACTACATAACATCCATCTATGGCTTATTACAACATCCACCCCTTCCTATCAAACACATCCAAAATCGCTAGAAGGCTTTCATCAACTCATAAACAATAAGAACAAGAAAAAAAATCAATCTTGTGTGACACAACTTAACGGTTACATTGAGCCAATTCGTTATACTTTTTATTTTTTTTTTTCTATAAAAAATATCATGTTTATTGTATCAAATATCATACTTGCGTTTAAGCTGTGTTTTTCGAGTATGACATCTCAATTCTATTGGAAAAGTATGGTCGTCTAACTGTGACCTACCTAACAACAACCTTATTGAAAAAAAAAGCACAACTTCTTGTGTGAGGCAGCTTAACGATTAGAGTAACTTAATGGTTAAGACTGGTCGAAAAAAGAAGTGGAACAGAGAAGTCTTTCAGATGCCCATGGCCTCATGCTCCAGCCTCCAGCTTCAAAATTCCCCTTGCTAAAAAAAAAAATAACATGAAATAATGAGGGAAAAAAGTATCGATACCACAAGAAAATATCTATGTCAGCTCAAGGGTTGTGTGCTTGCATACAGAGAGAGGCCAGGCCACATTAATGAGTCCTATTAATCAGATGCCATTTTTGAATCCTTTTGTACCAACTGCACTGGAGAAACAATCCCACGAGGCGCAAAACACCGGCAGCCATGACCTCCACAAACGCCATCAGAAACGATCTCTGAGGAGATAAGCCGGCGGTGGCAAACGAGAGAAGGTAGCCCTCTGCATTGCACGGGACGGAAAAAGAACCCGACTCAATCCCCTTCAGAGACTTTTCGGCAACTTTATCTGCTTTCATTGCTCCAGACGAGGCCGCTATTATGGTCGTCAGCTCTGGCCTTCTTTTCGTCTCTATCGTTACAGAAATAATACATTTCTATTCAGTTTTTTTTTTTTTTTTTTTTTTTTTTTTTTTTTTTTTCGAACAAGGAACTAACTAAGAATTATAATAAAAATACCTATCATGTTTCCTTCCTATTGAGTATGGCTGTCGAAATGCAATTTCTATGTATGTGTCAAACATGATTCTAATCTTTTGCTTTGGACAGGAAAAATGAATTTTGAATCAGCGCGAAAAAGGAAAAGAAAACACGTACTAGTGCGAGAGTTTTTGCTGCTTAGAAATAAACTAATGCATGAAGTACTTAATTAACTCTTAATGCATCAGCAGCATATGTTGCAAGCTATGGATTTTCAGGGTAACAACAGAGCATTAGTACGGAGCTTATCATTATTCGAAAGCAGCAGTTGAATAACACATTTACATATATTTTGATGACAATAACGATATAAAATCATGCAACCAGTGAAATTCATCCCAAACCAATATATATAATTATTAGTGAGGTGTGGACCTTCAAGATGACCAGGAGTTTCGGTGTCTGGAGGGAAGATGAGGGAGACGTGAATGTCGTCTGCTATAACTTCCTGTTGTAGTGCTTCTGCTAAACCCCTCAGCCCAAACTTGCTGGCTGAATAAGCCGAATAACCATAAATCCCAACCTGCACCATATTAACAAATACTAAATCAAAACAAGCTGAGAATAAGAGGAGAAATTATATTAAGATCAAAACAAGCTAAGAGATAAGCTAATACGAATGATATCGTCCCTCATTAACCCAAAAACACGAAAGCCCTTTGTTCATTGAGTAATTTACAGTGTACTTTAAGCTACACATCCTCCATTGAACCGGAAATTTGCGAAACTTTGCATTAGTTCACACATTTCATGCATTTTGTTACTTGAGTGGCATTTCTTCAATCCTCTTCAATAAGAACTTAAACCCACATTTAATAAAATTCATGTATTTGAACGTTCAAATTGTGAATGATTGTCGAAGAGCATTCTATTACCAAATCTTGAAATCAAGAAATAATTGAGCAATGGAGTCAAGGACGTAGTTTTACCGACATATAGGACTAAAAATAGGCACGTAATGACGTCACTGTATGTCTTAAGCTGCCAGGCAAGATTGAAAACACATCATGAGAATAGGAATACACCTATCACATTCGATTTGCATTATTCGCTAATCAACTGTTCACAAGTTGAGCACTCGATTCAGCAAATGCTCACAAACAAGAACCTACCCACGGTGCAATCCCACTTTTCACATGTAACCGCATTTTCCACAAACCAATTCATAATGCAACAGCCAAAAAAAACTACAACTGTGTCGTGTCACTAAACTATCACACAAAACATACCTTGTCATAGCCCATTCAAGTTTCAACTTGTGTTAACACCAAACAAACAACTTGTACCATTAAAGGCCGACAATCTTTTACCACAACGGAATAGATTCAAAAGGTAAAGGTCACCCGGTTTCGACTCTCGACCCATAATCGAACTGTTCGGTTGTTTATTGATGCAACGAAGTAAAACGTAAAATCCCCTCTAAATCACAACTCTTAATGCATCAAGCTAAGAAAATCGATCAGAATCACCGGCCCACAAAACAAATAAATATTAAAATAGGGAACCAAATGAATCGAAGAACAACAAAAGTGCTGGTTCCAACCTGACCCGCCTGAGAAGACATGATAGCAATCGAGCCCGGGCCCCTGGCGGCTCGATTTTCCCTCATCCCGGGCAGAGCCGCCTTAATCATGTGAAAAGTCCCCATCAGATTCACCTCCACCATGAACCGGATCTCCTCCACCCCCTGCGCCGCCACCTCCTCCGCCGAGAAAACCCCGTGGTTACACACCAGGACGTCGATCGGGCCGGCCTCCTCCACGGCCTGGGCCACGGCGACGTAGTCCCTGACGTCGGCGCTGAAGACCCGGACATCGAGGCCCGTGGCGAGCTTGATCGACTGCCGGGCGTCCTCGAGCCGGGCGGAATCTCGGGCGAGGATGGAGACGGCGGCGCCGCGGCGGGAGCAGAGGTGGGCGAGGGCGAGGCCGATGCCGCTGGAGCCGCCGGTGATGAGGACGTGGCGGCCGGCGATGGGGATCCGGACGGGCCGGGGGCGGACGATGAGGTAGAGGAGGGCGAGCAGGACGAGGAGGATGGCGAGGGAGGAGAAGGAGATGACTATTTCCGCCATTCGATAAAAGCTTGGGAATTTGTTGGGTGAACTAGTTAAATGGAAAACGCAAACATGCAGGCTGATATTTGTCTTTCGCCAGCTGAAAAATATTAATCATTTGTTGGGGAAAAAAAATGAACCAAAAATCGAGAAAAAATATAATAGGTGCTACTCAATGCTATTGGGTTCGGTTATTTTAGGCTATATTTGGTAGACTGAAAGCTTTTTTTTCATCAGCTTTATACTTTATGTATACAAAGACACCATTGCAAGATTCATTTCCCTTCTTTTAGAAAAAAAAAATAAAGAAAACCTAAATCGGCAGGCGGCAACGTTATTTGCCTTCCCCCAATAGGACCTTCGTAAGGGTGAGCATAGGGATGTCAATAAAACCCATAGGGTCGGGTTATCTGCATTTTTGGGTCGGGTAAATACGATATAATTGAGTTTTTGGGTCGAGTTTGAGTAGAATTATGCTACCTGAATCCTGGGTAGGGTTGGGTGCGGGTATAGTAGGCAAACCCATTATTTATAGTAGGCAAACCCATTACCCGACCTGATTATCCTACCCGTTTACCCGCAACCATTGAATCATATATATATATATATTTATAACTTATAATAAATATAAAGTTAGTAATGTGTTATTTTTACTAATTAGATTATCTATTATAATTTTGATTAATGATTAAATTTTATTTTATTTTTTATAATTTTATAATCATTTTTTTAACTGTACAATAAAAAAAATTAAATACTTAATTTTTAAATGTTATAATATTAAATAGACTATAAAAGATAAATAATCTGTTATACCACGAGTACCTGGGCTGCTGGATCGCTCCTCTCCGAATCGGGGTGCGTCTCCTTGACCGTCGGTACCTGCAAAGCACGTCGGGGGTGGTCCCGGCGCGAACACTCCGACGCTCAAGTCAGTGGTGGTCCAAAGAGAAAACGGCAGAGTAACGAGACAACAAGTACGTGTGTGTTGTGTAAAATGAATGAACTTGCTCCTTTTATAGGAGAAATTTGGAGAGTCCTCATGAGACAAGAAGTCTTCTTCGTGTATATCTCTTAATTAGGTCAAAAGATCATACATCCATAGAGTTCCTGAAGTTGTGAACCTCTTTATGACTTGAGTACACGAGGGTGTCGCGCACTTGAGAGTGCCGCGCACTTGAGGGTGCCGCGCACTTGAGGGTGCCGCGCACTTGGGAGTGCCGCGCACTTGAGGGTGCCGCGCACTTGGGAGTACCGCGCGCTTGGGAGTGCTGCGCACTTGAGGGTACCGCGCACTTGGGAGTGCCGCGCACTTGAGGGTAGCATAACAATACTATGGAGTTAGACAGAGTACCCAGCTGCCTAACTGCCAAGGTGCTTAGTTGGTTCTCTCCATACAAATGTGATGACTGAATCACGACCGGCCTTTCATGAACCGCTACTGACGACCACATCATAATCATATCTCATTATTTATTCCAAAAATAATATAATTATTTATAGTTTTTTATTGTCAAACATAGTTAATAAATTATTTCTTACATTATATTTAGTTGTGAAATTATTTTATTTTATTTTGAAACGAAATGGTTCGGGTAAAACTCAAATTTAAGACTCGGGTTACCCGTTTATCCGACCAAAACCCACTAACCCGCCGGGTTAAACCCAACCCGAACCCGAAGATCACTAGTCGGGTAACGGGTCGGGTTTGGGTAGGGTAAATTATATGTGGGTCAGATTCGGGTTTGCCAAAACCCGTATCCAACCCGACCCATTTACATTCCTAGGTGAGCATCGGTGCGGTTCGGTGAAAAACCGCACCGAACAAAAAAAAAAAACCGAAAATGCATATTTTTCCAAACCGAACCGCACCGAGCTTGGAGAAAAAACCGAACCAAAACCGAACAGAAAATATCGGTTTGGTTCGGTGCGATTTCGGTTAACCGCAAATAATTAAAAAAAAAACAAAATAAATCAAACAAAATTAGGGTTCTTGCCTTCTTGGTCACACAGTGAAGAAAGAGCAAATTGGAAAAGAAAAGAAGTCCTGTAGGCAAGATTCAAGAAATAGAACTTCAATTGAATAAGTGAAGTTGAGACTATACTAACCTCTCCACCACTCTCCACCCGAACCAACAGGATTTTCAAATCTTCATCACTACCCATTTTGAGAAAGAACCTCAAGTGCACAGATTTTTCGACCTTACAGCCTTCGGGCACATACACGACAATGAAATCCCAAGCCCCACACCATCGAGTTCAATCTCGACAAAGCTCCCGCAAACACCCCCATTGGGCAGCTCGAGTAGCTGTGAATTAGCTACCAAATAAACATTAAGGGGTCGTTTACTTTGAGGGACAAGATTACACTAAATAATCTGGGTCACTTTACACGTCAGTTTTTAGTCCCTCGTTTACCTAGTCTGATACATTTTTCCGAAACAAATCTATCGTTTACTTTGAGGGACAGGAGAGAATGTAACTGTTCAAAATGACAAATGTGCCCCTACAACATAATAGAGAGAAAATGTGCAGATAATTCTCAGTGCTGATAGTTTTAAATTATGTTTTTAATTGGTAATTATTTTTATTATTACTTTATAAATGGCAAAGTGGCCCAAAGACTTCAAACCCAAAGGCCCAAAAATGAACAACAAAAGCTTGTGTCCCTGCATCCTCTAAGCCAACAATACAAAAATTGCATTTTAACATATTCGGTGCGGTTCGGTTAAAACCGCACCCTTCAGACACAAAATCGAACCGCACCGAACTTTTTGCACTTTTTCTAGATTCTAACCGCACCGAACACATCGGTTCGGTTCGGTTTTTCAGTTTCGGCTCGGTTTTGCTCACCCCTAGGCCTTCGGGCCACAACGACGGTGGCCTTCACTGAGCTGTACGGCCGGTTTTCAGAGACCCGTCGAATATGGTGGCGACCTGTTTCTTCGGATGAGGCGGCGGATGCTTGACCTTGGGTTTCGCTTCTTTTTGGGCGCCAAGGTGTGTCTCGTTCCTGCGGTTCTTCGGTGTCTAGGAGGTGGTGGGCTTCAGACGAGGTTGAGAGAGTTGGTTGTGGCTCCAATCATCCCCTTGGTGGTGGTCGGGGCTGATATCTGGGCGGTTCTACTCTCCTACTTTTTCCCGCTCTTCTCTACTATTGGCGTCGTTTTGGTGGTGTTGGCGGAGTAGGCTTGGGTTGGGTCTGGTCGTGTGGCCTGGATCTGGGTCGTCGGGAGTTGGGAGGTGGAGTTTGTTGTAGGTCTTTGGATGGTCTATTCGACGAGGGGCAAGGTTTTTGTCTCAGATCTTGTTAGACGATTTTTCTGTAATTTTTGGCTTTGTGGCTTGGACTGGGTCTCTATCCGTGCGGGTGATCGGGCGTGGGTGTCGGCGTCGTTCGTGTTAGGTTTGGTTTCGCTGTTGTGGGAAAGGTTCTAGTTGTTGTTGTTGTTGTTGTTGTTGTTATTATTATTATTATTATTATTATTATTATTATTATTATTATTATTATTATTATTATTATTATTATTATTATTATTATTATTATGTTGTGTTTTATTGTTGTGTTTGTGTTTTGTGGGTGTTTATGTTTTGTGGGATGTGTTTTGTTTTCTCCTCTTTTAGAGGAGCGTGAAATTCTCCTATGGGGAACTTGTGTTATTTTCATTTGGGAAGTTTGTGTATTCTCTCGTTGGGAGTTTTTTATTTTTCTTTTTCGTCATGTGGCATGTGCTGTGGTTTCTAGGTTGCCTTGAATTGTCCACCTATTCCGGCTATTCAGGCGACTACAATTATGTGTTTTAGTCAATGAATCCGTTGTTTCGAACAAAAAAAAAAAA